TGGATCCTTCGACAGCGATGCTGGAAGTTCTTGGACTAGAGGATGCGGTGCTTGATCAAGGGAACAATGAATCCCTTATTCCCATTGAAGATGCTGGAGGTGAGACAAGCGGTGACACTGGAGGGAAGGGCAAAGCGCCAGAAGTTTCTCCGGAAGAGGAGAAATCCAGTGGGTCATCCAGACTGGCGGACACAAGGATTTTCTTGTGGTCAGTGTACTCCCGCGTGGCTTCGAATTTCTCTATGCAGGACCGCACTACTGGTAAGATCTTTGACAGCACCAAAGGATATCCTGGTGAAGGACCAAACAATGATGACAATCCTTCCTCTAAGGGGAACTTTCCCTGGATTTCAGAAGACTACCTCGACGAAGTGGTGTCAAAAAAGATGGAAAGGTCTTCAGAGATGGATGGGTTTGTTCCGGGAAGTGAGGGATCATTGGAAAAGGTAGAGGTGGAGAATGTCACTGCCTCTAAAATTCTTATGGCTCTTTGGAAGAAGGGACATAGAGTTGGGTTTAGAAGGTTGCGTCGTTTGAATGCATCTGGATGCAAGGTTGGAGCAATGAAACGTCCAATCAAAAGGGTGCAGAAGATTGGCGCTAGGAAGGCCTTCATGAAGATGTTCAATGTTTTTGGATCGTCTCAGCATGGCTCAGGAGTTGGCGGAAAACCGATCATGAGGGTGGTAGGACCAAGGCCAGGTTTTCCAGCTGTACTCCAAGCACCAAATACTGATAGCACGTCGGGTGAAGGGAGCAGTCCCCAGGTACATGGCAATGTCCATGTAGAGCACAATCGCCCTATGGACCGGTATGAGGCAGAGCGCTTGGAGAAGAGGAAGAAGGGTTTCTGCTATTGGTTTGGCAAAGGGAAAGATCGCTGCAAATTTGGTGACGACTGCAAATTCATCCATTCCGAAGATGATGTGGTGCTACATTCATATTGGTGCAAATACTATGTGGCAGGGAGAGAATGTTTCGCTGGAAAGGATTGTGGGTTCTCGCATGATGCAACTGGTGTGAGGTGCGTCCAGTTTGCTCGGTCTGGGAAGTGTCGATTTGGTGACAGGTGTGTCTTCGAGCATGGTGTTCCGTTGGAAAAACAGAGGCCAAGGTCTCCAAGGACGCCCCCAAGGGATGGTCCAAGGAGAAAGTCTGGTGCAAATGGTGGAGAAAAGGAGATCCCTCCTGAACAGTTCGATGATGATGAGGAGGATTTTATGGTTTATGACGAAGAGACCAAGATGACGGAACTGTTGATGGAGGCGATTTCATTTCTCTCCGGTGGCAAGCCAGATTTGGCTCGAGCAGAGGCGGACCCATTGTTCAAACTCCTGAAGTTCACTGGAGATGCTGACCAAATGGATCAAGTATGGGTTTCGTGGACCACTGAAATGTTGTCAGTGCTGGAACTTCTCGAAGTAGTGAAGTCGTACGATGTTTCGCTCGCGGAGGTGGAAGAATGGGTCAATGACCTGAGGATATGGTATGAGCGAGCCAATTTGGGAGAAGAAAAGGATCCCAAAAAAGGGAAAAAGAGGTCCCTAGAAGGGGAGTCCAGCAAAGATATTCCTGCCGAAAAAGAAGTGGTTGAGACTTCGGAGACGGAGGTTGCCGTTGAGGAGGAGAAGAAAAAGGTAAAAAAGAAGAGGAAAGCTGCAGCTATCGAAGATCCTTACACTCTCATGGTTCCAAAGCCGAAGAAGATGCCGACGATCATTGAGAAGGGTGGATCAACATCCAATGTGGTGGCTTCTGCAGTGGAAAAATCCTCGAAGACGCGCACAAAGTCAAATGTCGGTGGAAAGACAAAGAAGAAGGAGAAAAGTCAGAGTCCCAAAAAAGAAGAGGTGGTAATGGTGCAAGATCCTGAGGAAAAGGATCGTCCATCCGATGCGGAGGCACCAGGGTCTGCCAATGCGAATGAAGAGCTGGGTCAATCTTGCCAGGCGATTGAGGACGCAAAGAGAGAAGGATTGGTATCCTCAATTCAAAGGGGCATACAGGATCCTATTCTTACGATTTCGGACCTGGAGTATATTCTGCTGCAACTTCACCTCAAGATTGCCAACAATCGGAAAAAGAAGTGATTGGATGGTATGGATGAAGGGATGGTTTTTCTCTTTCTGGAGACCGGTGCGCTGGAACAGCCAATGTGCTGACAATGTGGTGGTTACTATTAAGGGTATGGAAATCCCTGATAGTAGGAGTCAGTAGCTTTTCGCGTAGCGAAGACCACGGTTTGTGGTGAAGAAGGCCAAGGAGTCTTCAGTGATGAGAGGATCAAGGTGAAAAAAGATTCTCTATGGGTAGTAGGTTAGCCAATGTGCTATAATTCCGTCCTGGAAGACGTTAAACCACAATTTGCATTTCAAGCAGCTGGCTGCTGCCGTAATGGCAGTTTTTGGCCAAAAGATCTGCATCTCCAATGTGTCCTAGGAAATCCTAGGACAGGGGGAGTGCGGAGCTGCAATTGGTATTGTAGAAAGGAGTTAGTGTTGGAAGTTGGAAGGGTTAATGAACCCGGTAATCGTATTTGGCTCAAGATGGGCTTGAACAGAAAGCCACAAGTTCAAAAAGAAGTGCCTGGGTTCTTAGGGTTTGGTAAGGGTGTGGATTCCTTCCCCCTTTCCTTCCCCCCTGGGTTGCTCTTATCCGTGTTCTTGGTTGTTTCTTGGTTCGATCTGGGAAATATAAGTTCAGGGCGATTAGGGGAGTTGATTTCCTTCCTTGGTTGTCCCCCCGTACCCTAAACCCTAAACCCTAAACCCTAAACCCTAAACCCTAAACCCTAAACCCTAAACCCTAAACCCTAAACCCTAAATCCGCAACAGGGCGGCGATGGCTCCGACATACCCGAAGGAGCGGGGAGGTGTATTGTGTGGTCATGAGTCATGAGTATGCCATTTTTGGCGATTTTTTAGTGATTTCCAAGTCCTCTGAAATCCTCTGAAATCCTTTGGTACCTCGATCAAGCGATAGGAGGTCGCATCCTTGGCGCAGGCTCACTGGGATGTTGAGGGTTCCCTCTCTGAGGTACAATAGGCAAAGGGTTGTGCGGCTCAAAGGCGGGAGGTTGACTTAGGGGTTTAGGTTTTAGGGTTTAGGGGTTTAGGGGTTTAGGGTTTAGGGTTTAGGATTACTGCTTACTGGTTCGCTACCTCCCACCTAGCAGTCGATGCCCAGGCGACCGGTGAACAGAAGTCCACTCCCCAGGGGTAACCCCCAACCCTAAACCGCCCCTAACCCCTGAGGGTTTAGGGTTTAGGGTTTAGGGTTTAGGGTTTAGGGTTTAGGGTTTAGGGTTTAGGGTTTAGGGTTTAGGGTTTAGGAACCCAAAACACTGTTGGCCTACCAGGCTGGGCTTCCCCGAGTACCGGCAAAATCGGCTACCAGGCTGGTGCACGCGGAACATTTTGCAGCCGTATCCATCGGGCCCTTCGAAGGTCAAGTCGCGAATGCCTGAGCCATGTGGTGGACTTCGTTGAATTTGGGTATGGGGCTGTGTTTTGTTTGACGGGCTTAGGGGTTTTAGGGTTTAGGGTGGACCACGAAGCCTTGGTTCCGGGTGTCTGCGGTGCTGAGGCCAGAGGGGTGTCAGGCAGAATTTAGCATGCGCATGAGCAGAATGCGAAGGGACGCCGCCCACCTGCTGCCGAACCTGGAAAACTCTCCAGATTGTGCCATGGAGACTTTGAACCCTAAACCGTAAAGCCGAATTTCTTTCCAAGAGTGCCTCGGCAGAGCGCATGGCCCGCTGTGGCCTTGGCGCCACCCATCCAGTGCCTCAAAGCGCCAAAAGAGAAAGGGGGGGCCCTAAACCCTAAACCCTAAACCCTAAACCCTAAACCCTAAACCCTAAACCCTAAACCCTAAACCCTAAACCCTAAACCGGATGGGCAGACCTAGGGTTTAGGCTTTTTCCCCTTCTGCACAGCTGTGGCCGCATCGCGGGGTGCGAAGTTTCTGGAATTTCAGGTGTCTGAACGTGGTGTCTTGAAATGACAGAGCAGACAAGAGCCTGCCTCACCAACTCGTCTGCATCTCGGAAGGTGTCGTCCACCACTACAAGCAACCCTCTAATTTTTTGTTGCCAGGGTTTAGGGCCCGAAGCCCTAAACGCTAAACCTTCTAGGGTTTCGGGCTTCGGAGGGGAAAGCCACGGCAGCTTTTGCTTGAAGGTGTCTGTGAGCGTTCTCGGGGATCTCAGTATATCTTAAGTCTTAGTTGTAGGATTCGTCGGATTCGTAAGGGTGCAGAGTTTAGGGTTTACGGATGCAGTCATCCTACCCTACTTATGACTTGAACAGTTATCCTACGGATGACTTTAGGGGATCCGCATGTGATGAACTTTCTTGTTTCTTAATCCGAGCACCTGTTTAATTAAACCCCCCATGTTTAAAGAATTTTTTTTCCCCCGAAGCCCGCCGGAAGACTACTTTCCATTAGGGTGGATGTCGGCTGGAGATAACCCCCCCACATTCAAAGAAATCTTTTTTTTTGGGGGGGGGGGTTCGCAAAATCTCGAGTCAATACTTTTGTTATTCAGTTTTAATAGAGATTCTATACAGTCCTATTGTTTTCAATACATTCTTATTGTTTTTTAATAGAGAAACCATACGGGGCCATGGTCCAACTATTGCGGAACCCTGCCTTCATTATTGTGGGGGGGGCCCCCCCCCCCCCCCCCAATTAAACAAGAGCTCGGATTACGAAGAAGCATGACGGGGACTTTACAGAGAACGTTTTCGGTTGGGAACTCAAGTAGGAAAATGCTATATCCGATGCTCCCACATCAGCCCCACTGCCAGTTTCAGTGTGAAGCGGTGTTGCCATGGTTCACCCACCGCCCATGCCAACTGCTAGGCGCTGATTGTCTTCACGAAGCGGTTGAGAACTCAATGTAGGATGAGGCTATATCCGACTAGCCCACATGAGCCCCACTGCCAGTTTCAGTGTGACAGCGACCGTCCCTGCCCAAAGCCAAGCACTGACTGTCTTCACGGAAAGTCCAGCTGCATGATCTCGGTGGTCTCATCGGTGATGTGGGCCTCGCCACCTGTTCTCGCTCTTGCGCATGGGCCCTCCGATTATAGCAAGAGTTGTGTTTTTGGCGCTTAGGGTTTCGGGTCTGGGGTTTAAAGGGTGCAGGGCTTAGCCCTAAACCCTGAGGCGCTTAGGGTTTCATGGACCAAGAGCCCCCTGCACTCTACGCCTCGCTCGGCCCCGCGATTGTACTTCTTCCCGCTGGCCATGATGACCTGCCGAATATTGGGCTGCAATGCTTGGCAGAGTCCTGACAACTGCAAGCTGATCAGTACGCAACAAACCTGCTATTGTCCATCTTTTGGGAAAACTAAAATGCAAATGTATTCATCTAATGCTCAATTATTATTATGATTATTATTATTATTATGACTATTATTGTTATTTTTATTATTATTATGATTATATTATTATTATCTATCTTTGTAGGATACCTTGGAGAATTTCCATGGCAGCCTTGGATGTGAAATGCTCGGTGTCCCCGTAGTAGAGATCGTTGAGGCAAATCTGCTCGTTGCCTTTTGGTGGCAGGGTTTAGGGTTTAGGGTTTAGGGTTTAGGGTTTAGGGTTTAGGGTTTAGGGTTTGGCTTCCTCTTAACTTGCACAGGTTCGCCAAGGCACTGGTGCAGCGGATGACCGGCGTTCCAATCCGGGCCTGCGTGTCTTGGGACATTGCTCAGGCCAGGCCAGACAAGGCACATGATCGTGAGGCTCGGCTCCAAAACGAGGGAGTGAGGTACCCTGAATAATCCCTTAAAGGGTAGATGTAGGCCCTGTGTAATCCCTTAAAGGGTATATATATATATATAAGATATAGGGAGGGGCCTCATTCCCTGATAACCTACTAAGAAACAGGGGGCTGCGAAAGGACCTTTCGGGCCTTCTTCAGCAGGTTGTACCCGGCCACGTGGGCATCGAAGGTGTCCTGGAACAAGTTCTGCCTCGGACTAGAAGCGATGGTCAACATCTTGGCGGAACAATGTCCAGCAGCTCAAGCAGTTCACTCTAAACCCTTCTACCCTAAACCGTAAACCCCTTTGAGCCCGGTACTGAGCCCAAACCCTAAACCCTATTCTCTCGACGCAGGGGAGGGATGCGAGGCCCGGTTTCTTCCATACGGTTTTCTGCCCACATCCTGCCATGATCTCAAGTCAACACCATCAGGTTTAGGGTTTAGGGTGACAATCATGAAGACGAGCTCAATCCTCAGGGACAAGAGCTAGGGCTGCCTGTGGCAACTCTTCGGGCTACTGAACCTGTAAGCAAGTTGACATCTCAGAACGCATGCGACGGCGGCTGCTGACGGCATCATGAATGAGCGATGTGCTGAAATGGGCCGGGGAACATTCAAGACATGGGAACCGGCCAGAGTCATAACAGAAGGACTAACGATAGCTCCCCCACCTGCCAAGGCGCGTAAACTGCGTGTTTTTCGCCAGCATTAAGCCGCCGTTGATGCGCGCCTCACCATTCTGGTCCAACCAGTCCTGTGCAAGGTCTCTGGGAACGGTCACTGACAGAACCTGGCTGGAGGGTGCCATCTCTCGTCAGCGAAGCCTCGTTGGTCAGGAAGAGGTCTTTGCCCTTCTTGTCCTGCATGGGACTTCCGAAGAAAGGGCCCTGGGTTCGTAAAGTCCAGGGCTCCAGGGGACTGTGCTGAAAGACGAATTGAGCCTACTGCGCCTACTGCAAAAGGACCTCCGAAGCCGCAACAAAACCAGAACAGAAGCGGCAAAAGGATGCGTCCGAACCCGTTAACCATCCCATTGGGAGAGGTACACCCTGGCTTAATCCCCTGATGAGATTGGGGAGCAGGGTTTAGGGACACTTTGCTTTTCCGACATTCCTAAAGGAAAAATCCGCCTCAGAATGCGCCCGACAGGACTCCGGAAGAGGACTTCGAACCCTGAGCCCCTGAACTCTCTTAGCGAGGCATGCTCCAGGATGGTTATTAAACCCGAAACCCTAAAACCTAAACCATGAGCCCTAAAAGCTAAAAGCCCTAAGCCCTATAGCCCTAAGCCCTAAGCCCTATAGCCCTAAGCCTAAACCCTAAACCCTAAACCCTAAACCCTACACCCTAAACCCTAAACCCTAAACCCTAAACCCTAACCCTCTAGCAGAATGCTCCAGGATGGCTGCGATGCGCTGCAGGGTGTCGAGCTGTGGCTGGATCAGCGCGGCGTCGGCGTCCAGCATGAGCACCTCAAGGGAGGTTGAGGGTTTAGGGTTTAGGGTTTAGGTTTAGGGTTTAGGGTTTAGGGTTTAGGGTTTAGGGTTTAGGGTTTAGGGTTTAGGGTTTAGGGTTTAGGGTTTAGGGTTTAGGGTTCAGGGGTTTTATTGTTTAGGGTTTTAAGCTTCAGGTTCTTGAGGGCTCAGGACTCATGAGCCGCAGGCATCGCGGGGGGATCGGGAAAAACGAGTTCTGACTTTAGGGTTTAGGGTTTTTTGGCTGGCTTGTTCGTGCTGGTTGGAATTGCTGTCTGGGGTGTTGTGTCTGTCTGCCTGTCCGCAACAATTTCGGTAGTTCTGTTTTAAGTTTGGCGGATCTTTATCGTGATGCATGTGTGTTCATTCTTGCTTCTTCCGTGTCGAAAATACTCAATTATTCCGTTAGCTCTTTCGTTCATTCTGCTTCTTTGTGTCCGTCGGTGTCTATGACTCTTCTAGTTGTTCTTCTCGAAGGGTTGACGGAGCACCAACCCCATCGCGCGAAAGCGCTGTTATTCTTGTCGTTGTTCTTCTTCTTCTGCTGCTGCGCATAAGGAAGTCACCCGGACATGTCTGCAAACACATGCGGGGAGTAGGCCCAAAGTGCATCAGCCACTTCCGCTCCAGCTACCCTATGCTAAGGCACAAGCGCGGGTGGTTCACCTTGCGGTGGTGTAACTTAACGTCGTCCAAGGCGCGTGGGTGAAAGCCTGTGGACTCAAGAGGTAGTCCTGCATCATCAAGTGCTTCTCCCAGTTGTAAGTCCTCGGCTGAAGAATGTTCAAGTTGTTGTTCCATTCCGAACCTTAGCATGTTCCATAAAGTTTGAAAAGCGAAACACGTCCTTCTGCTCTTCAAGAGTTCTTATAGTTCGTCGTTCAGAGGCAAAGAGTACTGTTGGGAGAACCTTTCAAATTCAGGCGGGGTGCTGGAATCGACTTGTTCGGGCCGAGACGACCCTGAACCCTCAAAAACAACATGACTCCCTGAACCCTACAGGCCCTAAACCCTAAAAGAGGAAAGAGCGCACATCCGGGAAAGCAACTCAAGACAAAGGCTCTCTCGCTCATTCACCTTCGCGCAGACTCGCAGGGACTTCTTGCCGCAGTCTTTGATCATCCAATCCTGTGGGTCCGCATCTTTTGTTCAGCCGAGCTAGCTTGAATTAGGGTTTATGCGGGTGGCTGATGTCATCAAGAGGATCCTTGAATGCTCACCAGGAGGGCTTCCGAGAGTCTTGCAGCTCTCTTCACTGCGCAAGACTCACTGCGCAAGGACCGGTGCCGCAGGAAGCTTCAGTTCAGATTTGCCCCCCAAAGCTCCACCCTCAGCTTTGCGCAGGCATCTGCAGCCAAGCGTCTGTGAGCTGCGGTTCGGTTGGATGTGCCTTGGTTCGAGAAGTGCCTCTGTCGCAACTTTAGCTCGGCGTGTGCCCACAAAGCTCCGCCGTATCATACTGACAATATGATACTTGGAGGTGCATGGTACTTCGTGGAGGTTCATGGCCCTTTGTAAACCCAATTCTAACTGCACAAATAACCCAATAATAACTACACTTATCACGGGGTTCCAAGGGTACTAGTACCCGGAACCTCCAAGTGATGTCCTCGAATTCCTGAATGGTGTGAACCCAAAGGATAACTGCAGTGAGCTCTCGGGGGCCCCAAGCAAAGAGGGCCGCAGGCCCCAAACCCCAAATCCCGCGTGCCGGCCAGGGGACGCGAAGCACCATTGCGTGGCCATGCTTCTTGGCATGGGCCCTGTTGGTGGCCTGCGCAGGGTCTAGGGTTTAGGATTTTTTTCTTGGGGTTTAGGGTTTAGGGTTTAGGGTATAGGGTTTAGGGTTTAGGGATTCGGTTCCATGTGAATGGCAAGGCCGGGGGCGCTAGGCGAGCTCAAATTCAGAGTGCCGTGGAGGGGTGGGGGCTAACGTGCGCACCTGCACTTTAGAGCAGCAGCACAAGGACGATACGACTAAGCGCTCCAGAGATAGAACCCTATCTGGGCATCTTCACCCTGGAGTAGGAGGCCGTGGCCTCAGCATGTAAAGAATCTCAAGGTTGTCCCGGCAAGGGTGTTCTTATTATTGATTCCATAGCTCGGATGGCCCTTAGAACCCTCCGAAAAATATTCATGAATATGATCCTCTTGAAACCCTAAACCCTAAACCCTAAACCCTAAACCCAATGAGGGAAAACACAAGATGTCCCAAGGGCCGACCGGGATAAGAGTGGTTTAAGCGAATGCAGCGAGGCGCCAAGATCGCCCGGAGCCAGTCGGGTCGATCTTCGAGCCGCTGAGCATCCTTGCCGAGCTTTGGGGGGCTTCAAGGGGTTTAGGGTTTAGGGTTTAGGGTTTAGGGTTTAGGGTTTAGGCTTTGAAGGGCTTCTCATGGGTCTAGGCTTTCTCGACTCTCGCACTCGCTGAAGCAGGGTTTAGGGTTTAGAGTAGTGGTTTAGAGTGTAGTGTAGGGTGTAGGGTTTAGGGTTTAGGGTTTAGGGTCAGGAGCACCCAGTCTCGGCCAGACTAGGTTTGGGCGGACTGGTGTGGGAGCCTGTGCGACACAATGGCAGCAGCAGTCCTTGCTATTGCCCCAGGTGCTGTGTGAATCGCTGAGGACAGCCTGCGAACCAGTGGAGATGTAGTGACTCTTGAAGTTTAGTAAATCATGGGGTTTACTACATTCGCCATGTCACAATGTCTCTGTTGGATTCGAGAAGATGCTGCATCTTTCATCTCTTTGCGGCTTGCCTCGCAACCTCGGGTTTCGGAGACTTACCAAACGGCACTTGAAACCCGCAGACACAATACTCCAAATAAAAACCCCTTAAACCCAAGTAAGGGAAACTCGACGAAACATCCCAATTGCTGAGCCTTTGCAAGGCCTTTGTTTTCAAGCCTCGTTTTCAAGCCTCGAAGAATACTCCCAACTAGGATCCTCTTCAACCCCCATTGGGGCTTTCCGGTCCTGATTATCAGGGAATCCTGCTATTTGAGGGTCTATGCCCTATTTTCGTACGCTCCCATGTGGGGAGCCCATGACCTCGGATAGAAGGCAGAAGAATGTCACGTTTGGCCTGGAGGATCACGATGCCCCCGTGTTCCTCTGGCCGCGCGTCGATGACCTCAGGAGTGGCAGCTGCTGGAATATAGGGGGCAGGTGTCATGTTTGACTGTTGTCAAAAGTCCTGGAAGTGACAGCGCCCTAAACACTTTTTTGGAAACCCTAAACCCGAAATCCTAAACCCGAAACCCGAAATCCTAAACCCTAAACCATAAGCAGCCAAAAGGTCTGAGAGCAACATGTCACCAAAGCCGCGCCAAGCTGCCAGCGCATCTTTTCGCGCCAGCCACTGAGGCCTCGGCCCCGGCCTGAGTGGGCTAAAGGTGCTTTTCTGCTTGCTTTGGCTTTAGGGTTAGGGTTTAGGGATTAGAGATTATATAGGGATTAGGGATTAGGGTTTAGGGTCTAGGGGCCTCCCGCCTAAGGCAAGTCCGCTTCAGGATCTAGGGCTTCAAGAGGACATCCGAACATGCTCTGCTTGGATTAGGGTTGAGGATGCTGTGTAGAAGTGGGAGGCATGCGCATGCAGCATAACAGGGCAGGCATGAAGGGAGCATTGCTCAGAAGCAGCCAATGTCATGCTTGCAACATCTTGTCCCCGTGGCCAGGCAGCAGCAAGCCATTCATTTCCCAAGAAGCGGTACCCTTATGTACGCTCAAAGTGCTCCATCCTCATAGCAACCCCAAAAACAAACAAGTTTGGCTTAATAAGGGCTGAATACCCTAGCCCAACAACGGTTAACCTTGTATATGCGGTAGGATTCTATACAACCAAAAAGGTTAAAAGTGACCTGCCCGGTCCCTAAGTTGGGAAGTGTTTGGGACCCCCCCCCCCCCCCGCCCATCAGTTTTCCATACGCTCTAAACCCTCTCTCTCCGACCAGGACTGAAGCTGGCTCTAAACCCTAAACCCTAAACCCTAAACCCTAAGCCCTAAACCCTAAACCCCAAACCCTAAACCCCAAACCCTGCCGGGATGCGCGATGGGGAGCCCGGCAAAGGGATCCACCGGGGGCGCCGTGGGCGGCTCTGGCGGAAGCCCCGAAATCCGTGGCACCTGCGCCTTGTAGACCTCGGGAGATTCCCTTCTTGAAGCAGGGTATAGGGTTTAGGGTTTATAGGGTTTAGGGTTTGGGGTTCAGGGTTAGGGTTTGGGGTGGTAAAGCCAGATAAGTTCAAGGGTTTTGGGGCCCGCTATCTGTCAAAACCCCAAACTATCAGCGTAGGCCACAAACTCGCCCAAACTCTGGTGTCTTGAGCAGGTCAGTGGGCCAATGAAGGAAAGAAGACAAAGAAGCGTTTATCGCAAAATCGACAGCAAAAGTCATGGACACAATGAAGCCCGGAAGCATTCCATTGGTCTGAGGCCGGACCTTCCTCCTGCCAAGATCAGAACTATGGCATGTCATCAGGTTTCCGATATTAGAGGTATCTTCTTGGGGTCCTTATTTTAAGGGAATCCTACGATTTTGGATCTATATGGGGCGTCCCCTATTTTCGCAAACCCCCGATGTATGCTGCCATGATATTCATTTGCAAGGCGTAAGCGCATGCACCCCCTCAAAGAACGGTAAGAAACAATCCGACTTGGGGGACCTCGCCATGCAGACTGCAGCAGCGGCAGATCCAGTCTGGATGCGCGTGGCTGAACCTGTGTTTGCAAAGAAGGGGATTTGCGGTTGGGGGGCCCTGAACCAAGGCTGATCCTCATATACGACACCCATGAGCTTGCTCCAAGAAGCATGAAGTAGCGGCCGCACTCAAGTTTCGTTGCAGCCTTGCATTCGGATTGAAGGTACGCACTCGGTCTCGTGGATACAGCAGGAGCAGTACTTGGGTCCCAAGGCTATTGCTGAAGATGTATCAGGTCACCAACGCCAATCAACAGGCATGCAGGATCTACCTGTTCCTGTGTGACATTGTCAACAACATGAAAGGATGGTGCTTCTCGCCAAGATGCCACTTCGTCACAAGCCTGTGAACAGTGTGAAAGGTAGTTCTGTCACATGACTACAAAGGGGCGCCACTCATTGAATAAAAGCGGGGGAGGGGGGTTGGGGGGGAGAGGGGCGTGGAGTTGTCAGCACGATGTTTGGAAGGAATCTAATCTTCTCTCAGACAGGAGCTCCATGCAAGGGCATGCCAACGGCAGGCGCAATGACGATGATGACGACAATGATAAGGGTGATGGCGGCCAAGCAGTAGTGTCAAGCAATCATGTGCAGAGCCCCCCCCCCCCCCCTGAAAAAAAGCGGCATGCAGCAGCTGTTGGCACCAGCAAGTAGCACCATATCCCCCACAGGTCTCGCATCCGGGAGTCGGGAGTTGAGGGGCTCACCCACACCATTTCCCCCAAATATACAAGCCCCCCCCCCCCTCCCCCACACTTTCCCTAAACCCTAAACCCTAAACCCTAAACCCTTAAAAGGCGGTGTTTGTTCCACACGGATGATCCGAAGTTTGGGCCTCCATGACCGCATACCCATCGTCATTGGAAGGCCAAGAGTGCCCCTAACTCCGAAAATCTCTGAGAAAAAAGTATACGTGTATTATATTTATATATATAATTGAAAAACCATAGTTATATATATATATATATATATACTTGTGTGTGTGATTAATACGTAAATCAGGGCCTATGTTTTCATATTCTTGCCGCACACGTTTGCACCCCCGGTTTCGGCCTGCACGGTTGGGAGGTTACCCAGCTCCATGGCCTGGTCCGCGCATTCCTTGGCAGCTTAGGGTTTAGGGTTTAGGGTTTGGGGTTTAGGGTTTAGGGTTTTTTTTTTTGCCACCCGACTAGCCACAGCAATGCGGGGTTAAAGGTCGGAGGAGAAATCTGCACCCCAGCAGCTACGTGATAGCTTGCACAGGGGATATCGCCTTACAGGCATTCAGGTGAGGAAATTGTCGGGTTGGGTTCGTTCGGGAGAGATCGACGTCAACAGGACCTTATTCCAACAAGCACTGACACGCAGAACAGTAGCTCCGCAAGACTCGTGACCCCTCCCGGTTTAGGGTTTGGGGTTTGGGGTTAGGGGTTTGGGGTTTAGGGTTTAGGGCCGAGTGGCCCGGTTCTTTGCGAAGATCTGCTCAATGTAGGCGCCCGGTGCCTCATCTGTTCTGCTTCAGGGTTTAGGCTTTCGACTCTGACAACTGGCGCAGCACGTGCTGGAGAGCTTCAGTCAACTCCATAAAGTTGGAGCATGGGCTTGTGGACGCTTCGTGCTGGGATTCCCAGTAGGAACCATCTTGGGGTATGAGTCATGAGGAGAATGATGATCCAACTTTTGGGGGTTTACAGTTCGTCTTTAAGGGTTTCGGGTTTGCTTAAGAGCAGTTCATTGGCGATACTTTTGGGTGCCCGATGCTTCGTCCACTCCGCCACTCATGGAATGCACACAACTGGCTTTCACCACATGTCACCCTAAACCCAACCCTAAACCCTAAACCCCCCATGTGTCAGCCAAGAAACCGCCGGTGCAGGCTCCTCCGAGGCCTTTAGCACGGGCGGCTCGGCCTCGACTTCCTTTCGGGGCGAACACATTACCCTAAGGGTTTGGGGTTGTAGGGTTGTAGGGTTGTAGGGTTGTAGGGTTGTAGGGTTGTAGGGTTGTAGGGTTGTAGGGTTGTAGGGTTGTAGGGTTGTAGGGTTGTAGGGTTGTAGGGTTGTAGGGTTGTAGGGTTGTAGGGTTGTAGGGTTGTAGGATTTAGGGTTTAGGGTTGTAGGGTTGTAGGGTTGTAGGGTTGTAGGGTTGTAGGGCTGTAGGGTCGTAGGGTTGTAGGTTTGTAGGGTTGTAGGGTTGTAGGGTTGTAGGGTTTGGGGTTTAGGGTTTCGGGTTTAGGGTTCAGGTCTTATATACTGTATAGTACATATAGACCCTTATGGACCCTTAGGCTTAGCATTCCATAGCTGTTTGCTGTACAAGCCATGATGAGCTTTGGTTCAGCGCATTTCGGTCAATGTTTCTGTTCCGCTGCTTCTCTGTCAGCATCGAATCCTTGAGGTATTTCTTCTTGTTCTTCTAGATGGGAACACTATTCGTCCTGCTCGTTCGTCAGTGAAAAATCCATATGTTTATGGTGACTCATAGGTCCTGCAATTCAGCAATTCAGCACCAACAAATGTGACACAACGCATGCTGTATGGACCTCATCATTGACATGCTTACCCAATGGGAACATTGTTATGATAGATGCTGATGCGCTTTGCTGGCCTGCGACTGCACCACGTACGAGTCGATCGCGGGAGCTTCAGGCACAGGTTCCTTCCTGGGTGTCACTGTCCGGTTTGGGTGCGAAGGTGGTCCAAAAACAAACAAACACAAACAAACACGCACGAACGCGCACACGCGCACACACAGAGACAAGCCCGAAACCCTATAAACCCTATATAAACCCTTTAAACCCTATAAACCCTATAAGCCCTATCAACCCTATAAACCCTATAAACCCTATAAACCCTATAAGCCCTCTGAACCCTATAAACCCTATAAACCCTAAACCCTAATGCGCCGGAGGTTCGCCTGCACCGGTGGAGACGGAGGCGGAGCTGGAGGGTGCCCAAGCTTCACCTTCGAGGTCGCCAGATCCACCTCTCCACTTCAAGCATCGGGTTTCTGAGCATCCCAGAGGGACAGATCGAGTGTACCACCATATAGTATACATACAGTATATATATCTATACATATGCTACTATGTAAACAAACAAAGAATCAAGCAGTTAAAAAGACCTTCCATTTTCTTGCTTAGTTATCAAGCTCGAGTCTCCGGGGTGCCTGCTTCGCCGCCTCCTGGATCACCTCGTGGCCCTGTGGCGTGCCGGGGCCCACTTTGTAGCCGCCGGTGAGGTAAAACTCAAAGTACCTTCAAGGGACTACAGGGGGGGGACCCGTATAAGGAGCCTTATAGGAGTTTATTTTGGGGACTATTTTAGGGGCCCCTTGATACCTTCAGAAAGGCTTAGAAACAATGGGGCAAACATAAGTTTTCCCCTTGTTGGGTGTTCTTTCCTTGTTACGTAGGAGCAATGGGCTTGTCTCCAGGGTTCAGTGGGCAAGAAGTTGCTGGATGTCTATCTTTTGTAGGTTCCTTTAAATACAAGCCATGCCACAAGCCGGGCACTGCCACGAAGGTGACGCCCAGCACCACCGCGACGACACTTTGGCAGCTCGAAGACGCCGCGCGTCGGGCGGGCATGTCGAAAGCTATTATGAAAGTCAAGAAAGAAATCGGGGATGTTGCTGATTTGCGTATCAGGGCCTGACGAAAGTGTACGACATGATGAAGTTTCAGGAGGGTGTGCTGAACAATGCAGGCATGGAGTCGTGTTGGAAACGCTGCAATGGCGAACGCACTGTCGTCCTCCAGCGCTCATGTCGCAATAGAAGGTGCGAAAACAGAAAAGCAACGAATCCGAATCAGTGCAACTAAATACACTAGGACGTGGAGGAGGCGGAGGAGGAGGAGGAGCAGGATCAACAAAGTGGGTCGACTCTCACATTGGCCACAGAGCAGGTGAGGCGTCGATGGTCTCGAGCGACAAGCCCAGCAACATTGCAGAGACTGTGATACAGGCTGATGAGATGTGAACAAGCTCACGCGTTCAGGTAACACAAAAACAGGCCACATTTTTTTTTCACGCCACGAACGGATGTTTCAAGGCAATTGGCTGAAGGAGTTGCTGCCCTGTGCACAATGTGCACATCGGCGGTATCTCAAGAGCGAAGCTTCAACAAAGCCTCAGCAAGTTCCTGCGACTACTGCAGTACACTGACAGATGCTTGAACCTTGCGGGGGCTTGTCGCGCGGAAACTGCGGCATACTTAAGACTCAAGACATTGCTACCCATCAGCACTCTGAGGGATCATCGGGATACCGATGGATACCGGCAGAATCCTTTGCTCCTACAAGACTCTGAAAGCTTCGTTGGCTGAGCCGATGGGGTCGCACTGTCCTTGCACCATCCTTCTCTCGTCAAAAAAAAACAAGGGGCCTATCACAGTTCCAACCGACTGCCTCCCTCGCAGCCCAACTGGCGCACGAAGGAGGCATGTGGAAACCCTGATCCTTTTGCCGCAATGCTGACCTACAAACTTCACGATGCAGCTCGAGCTGTGCCATTACCTGCGGGCTCGCACAACGCAAGACGACCCAGGGATCAGACCGTTGCGGCAAAAATTAAACAAAGCTTCCACACTGTGGCTCTAACAGCCGAATGGTGGGCCTCGCGATCCCTTACAGCACGATCTCGGTAACGGTCTCTGCAATGACCGTGGAGTTGCGGCAAGTGCCCGTGACCTTACCTCCCCAGGCTTTGGCAACCGCTGCGGCACGTTCCGCCTGCGATGCTGGGAGATGGGTCAGGTTCGCATTCAAGCAGTACACTGGCCACTTGCCGCACTCCCCGTTCTGCTTGCACATGTTCCCCGTGTCGGCCACCTTCTCCTTGCCCAACCCGAACAAGCCAAAGGCCATCTCAGATCCACCGATCTGGTACGCGGTTTGAAACTGGAAGACAGTCACACCCAGAAATGGATCGGAAGAGTTGTGGGCCAGCTCTGCCATGGCCTTCATGTCACTCTGGATGGCTGTGTGTGGCTGGTTCAGCGCGCCAAACTCACCGATGAACCAAGACCTGTTCCCGAACGGGCCATAGTTCTTGCTGACGACATCGTGGACAATTTCCCAGGGCGTTTGCACGTTGAGGCCGTTGATCCACCTCTTGTCGAAGGCCGCCGCCAGGTCTTTCGCGGGAGTATGAGGAACATACTTCGCAATGGACGGGTCGGCCACAGCTGCCAGCATGTCCTGAAACCCGAAGTACCCAGGGCATTGCTTGCACTTGCCATCGATGGAGTCCGAGATGTTGAAGGACCAAGTGGTTGCCAGGTTCCTTGGGGGCCACATGAACCCTAAAAGGGCTTGTGGTTCATATTTTTCCTCCTAGGAGTTACGAGTACAGTATAGTACTAGGGTATCATGGCCCCCCCCCCCCCGGCCCCTCCCAAAAAAAAAAAGAAAAAACGTGGGGTTCCCAATTTTGGTGCCCAAGGCTCACTCGGCCCGGGCGGATGCCTGCCTCCTTCTCGGCCGCCAGGAGGCCATCCAGCCCGGAGAGCACCGCCTTGACCCGGCACCAGGGGGCGCCACCCGGGCACTTGGCGTCCCGGCCAAAGAAGTCGGCCTCGTTCAGGATGAGGGTGTAGGGTTTAGGGTTTAGGGTTTAGGGTTTAGGGTTTAGGGTTTAGGGTTTAGGGTTTAGGGTTCCCGGCCAAAGAAGCCGGCCTCGTTCATGATGAGCACCGTGTGGATGGCCGGGTGCCAGTCTTTGCCCTTGGCGAAGCCCAAGGAGAAGCCGGTTTTGACGACCGCCTTCACCGTCTCGTAGCAGTCGAAGTTCGTGCAGTTGTGCAAGGCGAGGTCGGAATCAATGCCCGGCATAACGTTGAGACCCTGCTTCAGTGCCTCGTCCAGAAAGCCGCTGTGGTCGGTGGCAGGGCCGAAGCCCAAGGAGTTGTAGAGGCGGACTGTGTTGGCACCAAGGTTCTTGATGACACCCAGGTCGTTGCGACCGGTGGCGCCCCACTGCGTCTTGTAGCCGAGCTGCATCACGTCTTGGCTCGGCATCTGCTGCTTGCAAGCGTTGTCAGCCGTGCAAGGCAGGGCAGCATAGGCAATCCCACGCAGGGGCCCAAAGGGCAATGGAGAGGGACCGGGCGAGGCACTGTGCGAGTTGGCTGCAATGATGATCGCAACGACCGCAGCCACCAGCACCAAGGCTGCCATGATGCTGGCAATGACACAGCGGCTGTAGCCGCACCATTTCTGCGGCTGCTCCGTGGAGGTTTCACCGTCGGCCACGGCCATGGCTTTAAGTCAGAAGGGCCGAGCTGAGGGCTCCACTTTACGTCCTGCGCACCAGGGCTTGAGTCAACCGGCTATACTGGCTCCAGGAGCTCATGCACGCATCCGTGAAGGTGACAAATTTGATGCACGGCCTGGTCTGAGGCCAGGGCCCCGAATCCGAACTCCGGGACGTCTGGGTGGAAGCCTGCTGGTGGCGAAGATCGAAGCCCAAGCGCGCCTACTACTGCACAGGTTGGCATAATATGACGTCAGTCGAAATCTTGTGTGTATACACGTACGTAGGAGTACCTCTAAAAATGAAACGAGAGGGATGCTGAGGCACGTCTGGCGTGTCAACACTGCCTCTCACCTATTGCTCACGCTGTCTGAGTCGCTTCCTTTGCAGCTGTTCCTCTCGGAAGGCGCAGAGACAGTTGCCGCGTCCAGTTGTGGTGCAACTCGAGCGCGAAGAAGCTCCAAGTACCGGTGGGGAGGATGGGAAGCTCTGCGGCTACAGGCTTGGAAACATCATCCCCCCCCCCCTCACAACAAACAGTGCGCGCCCACCTAACCTCCACCAACCCAAGTGCGCCTTTGTCGTGCGCCTCTTTAAGGACCTCCAGCCAGCGCCTTAGAGCTCGGACATGTAGCTGATGTAGCTCTTCGACCCTCAAACCAAGAGCGCAGTTCTCAGAACCCCGCGATGTCCAAGACGAAGATGAAGGGGACCGCAGAATCTTCTCTGTATGATTGAGGGCCTCGGGAAATCTCGCAGATGGCAATGTGACGGCAATGTGACACAGGCGCACAAGCACCGGAGATCACGAGTTAGCGTCCATTTGTCTCTCCACGGCCCCAGGCCCAAAGGCAGAGTTCTGCTTGGTCCGGGGGCAGGTGCTCATATTCCATACCACGGCTGCCCACCTTGATTGGACAGGACCTCTCCCCTTCAGTCTCTTTTTGCAGCAAGACACGCCTTATGTGTATATGGGAGGGAGGTACTCTAAATACTAGTCCCTTTCTGATTTAGAGAAAGGCCCCTGATATGAAGAGCTTAAGGAGGAGATATTCTGGCATAATTTCAACAATTCTCCTTCTCTCTCACTCTCTCTCTCCCTCTCCCTCTCTCTCTCTCTCTCTCTCTCTCTCTCCCTCCCTCTTTTTCTCTATGTATATGTGTATGTTTATTTCATGTATATATATAGTATATTGCATGCATATATATATATATATGTACATATTGATGTATATACATCCATACCTACATACATACATACATACATACATACATATATATATATATATGTATACGTTTGCGTCAATGTCCTAAAAGCTCTGTCATACCTCATGAAAGCACAGATATAGATTCTGAGATCTGCATTCGTGAAGAAGCCACAATGCCGGCAACCTTGTCTGGATCCCATGTCTGTGCGCCACGCCAGGAAGGTGTCGAAGTCAGAAACCACCTGATGCCAGGCCAGCATGTAAAAAAAGCCAATTTGAAGCCTATGCCTTGGGATGTTCCCCCTTATACCAACAGTTCTTAATAGGGATTATAACATTGGGTACCACAATCCCTATTAAGGGCTGTGAGCATAAGGGGGGAACATCCCAACCTACGCCGACGTTCGTCCGAGGCTTTGGCCGGCTTTACGGTGGACTCCGCATAGGCAAGGAGGAGGCCATGCGGGTTCATGGGGTTGTCCTGCACTTGGAGGTTCATGGCACTTATTAACCGATTATCTTATAACCATATTAGGACCCTTGGGGGGGCTATAAGTATAGATATTAGATCTGGTTGGTTAGTAAGTACCATGAACCTCCAAGCAAGCTTCTCATGACTGAAACTGTGTCCGCGCCGCCCGAGCCTCAAAGGGGACTTGAAACTTGAACCCATGTTTAACCCGGGCTGCTGAAGCCACTAAAGCAACCCAACCCTAAACTTAAGTTCGTGGTTGCTTTGCTTTCACCATTCCACATGCTCCTGGTCAAATTGGTAGAGGACCACTTTCGGCCGGGAGTTGCCACGCAAAGCCTGGAGGTTCATGTCCATGAAAGCCTCAGTGCGACGGCTTTTGTGGGTTGTTGAGAACGGACGTAAATTAGGGTTTAGGGTTTAGGGTTTAGGGCATGAAAATTGTAGGGGTTCTGCGGTTCTAGGCTTACAATACGATGGGCATGCACAGTAGCATTGACATGCTTTCCTTGCCGCGGATTGCTTCATGTAACAACTTCCCGTGCAGCAACTCCGCTGTTTGGCCGGTCAAAAGCTGAGGGCACCGCCGGCTCTGAAACACGGCCTGCGGCTGTGGCTTCGGAAGGAGACAGCACGGCTTTTCTCGGAAGGGATTTAGGAACCCAGAAACCCACTCACCAATTCACTCCTAAAACAGAGGGTACCCTCAATAGAAACCCCCCCCAAAACTGGCACACCGACAATTTCCCCTACCTAAACCGTGGGGTAATTACGCAGCAGGGGACTAGGCCAGCCCGCCTGTCTCCCATCCAACGGCCGGCTGGATGTCGGGCCTCTTGTTTAGGGTTTAGGGTTTAGGGTTTAGGGTTTAGGGTTTAGGGTTTAGGGTTTAGGGTTTAGGGTTTAGGGTTTAGGGTTTAGGGTTTAGGGTTTAGGGCGAAGGGACTGAAGGTATCGAGGGGTTACTATAGGGGAATCAGATGAGGGGTCCCTTGCAGGGGTGTTGTCCACACTTAAAGGGGGACTAAAAGGTCTTTCTACCAGCTATCGGGGGGATGTTCTAAGGGGAGTGAGGTCGAAAATTCCCTCCTGTATAAAAATTCCTTAATGGAACTGTCTTTGAGGAGCGTGCCGCAACCATCCTGCGGCTCCGAACGAGAAGCTTGCATCTCCCTAGGCCCTAAGCCCTATAAGACCCTGAACACCCCAAACCCTAAACACCCCAAACCCCCCAAAACCCAAACAAAAAACCCCAAAACCCCAAAAACCCCCAAAACCCCAAAAACGCTCCAAACACCCCAAAAAGCCAAAAACCCCAACAAAAGCAAAAACACAAAAAGACCCCAAAAGCCCCAAAAAAACCCAATACCCCAAAACCGACGAAGGAGCCCAATTCTCAGTCGCCCTTGGGGTGCGCGCTTGAGGATGAATGCCTGCTGAACTGCGACCTCTGGCCTGGCAAAGGCATTAACATGAATGATGTTCTTATTCTGTATGTTTGGGGTTTAGGGTTTTAGGGTTTTAGGGTTTTAGGGTCTTAGGGTCTTAGGGCTTTAGGGCTTAGGGTTTTAGGGTTTTAGGGTTTTAGGGTTTCTAGGGTTTTAAGGGTTGTAGGGTTTAGGGATTTAGGGCTTTAGGGCTTTAGGTGTTTTGGGTTTCGGGCGAAGCCACAACATAAACGCTGTTCTTACCTGTACGTTTGGGGTTTAGGGTTTAGGGTTTTAGGGTTTCGGGGTTTAGGGTTTAGGGCGAAGCCATAACATAAATGATGTTCTTATCTGTACGTTGTTACTTGTATACCATTTTAAGTTGCTATTGTAAATACATACAGAAATAAATTGAAAAAAAATATGGCAATATTATACATACATCTATATATATATATATATTATGCGACTATTCTGCATTCTATTGGATCTTACCATTATGTATTTGCTGGAGATGTTGCATCTACATATATACATATGAGAATGACAAGTGGATTACTGGTACATATTATAAACGTGTAATTTCTTCACTATTATGTCTGTGTTGTAGTATATTACCATTATATCGATGTATTGTATCGTACTGATATATATATATATACATATATATATATGTATATTTGATCGCCCTAAACCCTAAACCTTAAACCCCAAACCGTAAACCCTAAACCCCCTTTCCATTTGTAGAGACTGTACCCAACAGAATGTGCTGCTGGCAAGGCTACACAGTTCACAGCATAGTAGAGACCTTACATTCCCCTGCGCATCGGGTTCCCGATTTCCTCCTAGTCCCCCTAAACCCTAAACCCTAAACCCTAAACCCTAAACCCTAAACCCTTTAAACCCTAAACCCTAAACCCTAGTCCTCCCAAGCACCAGTGGGCCACCATCACCGGTAGGCTCGGATCCCGGGCACGTCCAGGCCCGGCACCGACGGATACTCGTCCAGGAGTCGGATCTCCCGTTCCTGGGGGATTTTTTGGCTCTTATACCTTAATAGGAATTATAGCAGTATAGGGTAGATGCCTTAATAGAAAATTATAGAAGTATATGGTAGATGCCTTAATAGAAAATTATAGAAGTATAGGGTATATGCCTTAATTAATAGGAATGATAGTAGTATAGGGTATGTGACCCCAATTTTAGGGTTCATTTGGTCCCTTAAGGTTGAGGGGTCACTCAGCATACGCTCGCGCAACTGGAGATCTCGTGTCACCGCGCAAGAGGCCCCTGCCTCAATGGCCAGCGAGCCCATGTCCACAAACGCTTGCAGCTGGACCATCGCCTGTCCGTCTATCCGTGGCGACATCGGGTCCCTTGATCAGTAGGGTGTTGTGTGTGTGAACGAATCAAGGGTGGCGGGGTGACAATACAGTAGTCCATTGAGGGACTTCTTCTGACCAAGTGCCCGACACTTTGCCGCAGAATCTCAGAGGCAAAGTAAATGCAAACTCGGGCATGAGGCGGTGACCTTAGCGAGGGCCGTGGCCGAAGCACCCAAAATTAGCATTCTTTGTCTGCCAGTCATTTTGATGTATTTTCCTACGATTCTTCCTACTTACTAGCATGATTACAACTGTCTACTTTTGTATCTCATGTTTTAAACAAAACATCTTTTTTCACAAGGGACTCGACTGAACATCTTAAAACTCTAAACTCTCGAAAACGCATGTCAGTGTGCCTTGGTGTGGGCATGTGTGCTTAAGAACAAGCAAAAAACACATGAGCCACAAGCTCATCCGAAGGAAGTCTTATTGCCTTACGAATGGGTGTGAATGCGACGAGTCGGTGAGAACTGTAAAACGGGACGGATGCACTGCCCAAGCTTCTTACAGCGACATGCCCGTTGAAGGGCACCAATGCTACAGGGACCGTCTCTGCAAGCCACAGCTGCGCGCTGACACCTCAGAAGACCTGAAGCCGCTGAGATTTTTCCGGTGGCGGCGAGCGGACACCCGAGCTCCGGACTCTTCAATCTCGGCCTTGTGGCTCTCCTGCCAAAAGCCCCCATGCACATGGAGCCCACTTGCACCGCACAGGGCACAGGTGGCATCCCTTGCTGAGGGCTTCTACCGACTTCATCAAACTCTAGACGCGTCTCTGCAGGCACTAAGTCTCTCTTCACCCTGGGATTCTCTGGGTTTACGGCTTAGGGATGTTTAGGGGTTTAGGCATCCTCCCCTTAGGTCTCCTGGCTGATCTGCAGGAAGGGAACGAAGCCCGAAAGGCGATTCCTGAGATCTCACCACTCCTTCAAGGGCCAAAGTAAATGAAACCGATTCCTGGGTAGACCTGTTCAAAACGTTTACAGGTTTGATAGGGCTTATAGGGGTATTATAGGTCTTTATAGGGGTTTATAGGGCTTTATAGGGGTTATGGGGGTCTTACAGGGTTTGGGGTTTAGGGTGCCGTGCCTCGCCTGCCTTTGCAAAATGAGTGCTTGGTCACGCACGGCATCTTGGCTGACTTGCCCTTGACGTTCAAGCCCTTGCCGACCTGATTCTTCATGGAAAACTACCATTTACTTGTTCTATCCATCGCTCCTTTTTCCATGACAGTTACTATTATATGTGTATATATGTATATATGTATATATATATATATATATATATATACGTACATACATACATACATACATACATACATACATACATACATACATACATACATACATACATACATACATGTATGTATACAAGACATACATAGATTCTTAATTTAACTACGCAGCATCACAATCCACACATATGCAACAAGTCACGGCGACCTGACAGGCTCAGCATGGCACGGAAGCAGGAGCAGTTTTCGGTTTCGGGTTTCAGGGTTTAGGGGGTTTAGGGTTTAGGGTTTGGGGTTTAGGGTTTAGGGTTTAGGGTTTAGGGTCAGACGGACCAGCTTTGGCTTTGAGGTGGTGGCATATTTGGATTTTGTGGGACCGTTTGGAGTGGGAGGGGGGGGGGGGGGGGGGGGGGGGGGGAGGGGCATCATGCCTCACAGTGGCGTGAAAAATCTTCACGCGAACCTCAGGCTCTGCTTCGTCTTGAAAATCGATCATTCTAAGGGTAGTTTCATGGTCCCTTAGATGGGCCCTGAAAAGGGGACCCCGCACGGAGGGTAAGGGACCACATTAAGGCCCATGAAACTACCCTTAGAATCATGAAACGGATGCTTTACTATCTCTTTCTTGCAGCCTGTGCCTCATGGCAGGTCCCCCAATCTCCAGGCTCCCACGCCGCGACGCCACTCACCATCTTGGCAATGGCATCGCGCGAAGTTGGGCGGTACACGGCAAACCTGCGAGGCGCACGGGATACTTGCTGATGTCCACCAGGAACGCTAGGGCTCCAGGTATATACAAATAATACCTACATTGGGGTCTAAAGTCTGTAAGTAATACCTGCTTTGGGCTATTTGGAGCCTTAGGGGAATTGGGGAGGGTGTCGCAACAGCTTGTTTTAACAGTGGCCGTCCAGTCTTGTGGCTCTTTTTTGGTTACAGGGTCCCCCCAACTGCATGCAACGTGAGACCCTGTCGCTTTCACCTTTGGTTTGGTCTGGCTTTGATGGTCCCCGGGCTGCGTCTATATAGGGTTTAGGGTTTAGGGTTGGTGCGCAGGTCTCTTGCAGGCGACGCTGCCGGGCGTGTCATACCAAAGCAGACGGGCTTTCGTTCAACGTATACAGCCAACAACGGCAAAGCGAGACTGCCAAAAACTCTGCGGTGACGAGAGCCCTGCAACATCCACACAACAAACCAGAACGCTCCACAGCTTTAACTGTTGTGTCTTTTCCCATCTTGGCAAGGCAGTCCGGTCCACGCCCAACTGTTCAGTTGCTCCTCGCCTTTAAACCCTCACCCCAGCTCTCCCACCTGTCGGACGGCAATGCATTACCGCCAAGAGTAGGAGGGCAGTTCTCGCGGAGTACTGGGGGCCTTTATGGTCCCCCCCGAAAGACAAAAGCCAGCCAGGGGCGCAGTCGGCCTCCTCTACGTTTGGCCATGCTCGGGGTTGAAATCACCACAAGTACTGCCAGTGCTGCCCTTGATTTCTCTTGTGATACCAGGCCATGGCACCAAGTGCCGGATTCTGTAAGAAACCGTGAAGAGCCCGCAGCTTCCTTTTCAACGTCGCCTGGGGCGTTGGGTTGCTTTCGCCGGGGAAGGTCGTCCTCCAGTTGGTAGTTCAGTTCTGCGAACCGCAGAGGCGCGACAGAGTTCTGGCTCGTAGAAGACGGGCCGAACATGTTGTATAACTTTCGTCCATGCTGCCTACAAAGCAACCCAAGGCAGTAAACGCTCAGCAACCTGGCAACAAGTCGGCTGGCACGTTGCACTGGCCGAAGCCATTGTTGCCAAAGCACACAAGCTGATCGTCTGCCCTCACAGCACATGTGTGGAAGAAGCCTGCCGAAACGGCAAGGGCTGGGCCCATGTCCACGGGCACGTCGCATTGGCCAAGGCTGTTTCTTCCAAAACAAATCAGCTCGCCATCTGTTCTCAACGCACAGGTATGGAAAGGACCCGCTGCAACTGAAAACACTGGACCCAAGTCTGCCGGCACGTCACATTCACCGTAGTCATTGCGGCCAAAGCACACGAGCAGCCCATCTGCTCTCACTGCACATACATGGGTCAAGCCCACGGCAACTGCCAAGACTGGTCCCAAGTCTGCCGGGACTTTGTCCGCAATGTCGCGGCCGAAGCAAAGCAGCTGGCCAGTTATTTTCACAGCACAGGTGTAGTGAGCACCTGCCGCAACTGCTAAAATCGACCCCATGTCGGCTGGCACATCGCACTGCCCACCGCTGTTGAGACCAAAACAAACCAGTTGACCATCAGTCCTCACCGCACAGGTGTGCTGGGCGCCCGAAGAAACAGTCAAGACTGAGCCCAAGTCTGCCGGTACCTCGCATTGACCGAAGTCATTACCCCCGAAGCAGACCAGTCGTCCGCCTGCTGTTATTGCACAGGTATGGTAGTAGCCGACAGAAGCTGCAAGAACGGGTCCCAAGTCTGACGGGACATCACACTGACCAAAGTCGTTGTTTCCGAAACATACCAATTGATCATCTGTTCTGACTGCACAATTGTGATCGTTGTGGGCGGACACTGAGATGGCACCGAGTCTCGAGGACATCAGCGGCTGCATCTGCATGCAGAAGTAGTTTAGTGCCCAGCGTGCGATCCCGCTCTGGCGTAAGCGCTTCTTAGCTGGCGAGCTCCCGCGAGGAAATCGTGTGATATGCGATGCTCCTGTCCAGCATCCTCGAAGAGCACCCGATGCCATGGAAGAAGACCCCCAACAATAAACCCTAAACCCTAAACCCTAAATCCTAAACCCTAAACCCAAAACCCTCGAATTGCCCCTTTGGACCTTCGAGCCCTTGATGTGCTGAGGATGCCCCAAGACATCTCAACGCCCCAAACCCTGAAGTCGCCAAACCCCTAGTAGCCCAGCAACCATAATCATAATAAGGGCACCCTTTTTTTGGGTTGGTTACTTTATAAGGGAACCCAGAACCAGAAAAAAAGGGGTAAAGGGTACACTGGGTAAACACGTGCAGCATGGGTGCAGCATGGGGTTCTTGGAGGCCAGACCAGGTGGACGCATCCGGCTCCTCACCTGACACACCGGGCAGAAGCCTGCGTTTGATCTCTGCTCAAAAAGGTACTGCCATTGAAGAACACGAACACGAACACGAAAGCTAACATAAACAAACACAGAGAGAGAGAGAGAGAGTGCGGTGCCTGTGCGCTCCTCGCCGCAGAATCCTCCAAGGGTTTCGCTGCTTCTCAGACACGAAGGAGCAACAGAGAAAGAAGCACGTCTGCGCCCAGAATTTCATGAGCAGCCTCACTGGGGCAGACATAGCCCTATAAGCCCTTTTTGGGCACTCTAAACCCTAAACCCTAAACCCCTAAACCCGAAACCCTAAACCCCACAAGCCTAAAAGCCCTCTCACAGTCTCACAAGAGCAGCCAGGAAGACCCTTTCTGGCCTGCGGGACCGCTTTGGTCCCCGGGGAGGTAAAAGTTGGCGATGCTGCGCCTCGCATGCACTCTGAGAGGGCTGTTAGGCTGTTAGGCTGTTAGGGGTTTAGGGTTTAGGGTTTAAGGTTTAAGGGTTGAGGGTGAAGGGTTTAGGGTTGAGGGTTTAGGGTTAGGGGTTCAGTGCTTAGGCTTGTAATAGTTTGGGGTTTTGGGTTTGGGGTGTAGGGTTTCGGGTTAGGGCTTCAGGGCTTAGGGTTTATGGTTGTTGGGCTTGGGGGATCACATGAACCCTAAAAACGCTTGTGGTTTATTTTAGGTTCATTTGGGTAGGGTTTGGGGCTTCGTGCTCAAAACGCGTGGTGCAATTCATGTCTACTATTTGCTTAAGAGACCCCAAAACATGACAGATAGTAATCCCGATAATACCCGTATAGGGAAGAATACTTTCTTTGTTGTTTGGGGGTCCCTAAACCCTAAACCTTAAACCCTTAACCCTTGTGAACTCTAAACTCTAAACCCTAAACCCTAAACCCTAAACCTTGTCATCTTTGTGACCGTCATCGCTCATCTAGGCCACTGGCCACCTCCCTGGTGTTCCCGGGTTGTTGGGGTTTAGGGTTTAGGGTTTAGGGTTTAGGGTTTAGGGTGATTCCAGGCAATTGCTGCAGTATACACGACGCGAAGCAAAGTCGGCTCTGCTCAGCGAAAGAGGTGGCTAAAAGTAAAATTTGGAATGCCCCCCCCCCCCCCCCCACAAGCAAACAAGTTAAACCCTAAACCCCGACACCAACCTTCCCACGACCCCAAACAAAAACTGAAACAACTCTCTGAAGACTTCCCCCGAAGCAAGGACTAGAACGATTCCCAACCTTGGATCGCAAAGGTAGTGGATCTCTTGCAGTTGGCTGAGGGGTCCCAGCCTTGGTCTCCCACGCAATGCGGTTGCGGGTTTAGGGTTTGGGGTTCAGGGTTTGGGGTTTAGGGTTTAGGGTTTGGGGTTTAGGGTTTGGGGTTCAGGGTTTGGGGTTTAATTAGGGTTTGGGGTTTAGTTTTAGGGTATGAGTTGTGGTTACTGTTATGGAGGGTATCAGAAGCAGGCAGAGCCGGACTGCACTCCAGTGTCCTCTGAAAGGCGGTCCCCATGAAGCCTCTTTGGGCCTTGGGGAAGACTCGCGGCGCATTGTCCGCACCCACTTTAATCCCTTCCCTCTAGTATTCCCCCCCCCTCCCTGCGCCCCTAATAAATCTCCCGTACATGCTAAAATACACCTGTAATGTGAGTACTTAATATTAGGGGTAGGGGGTTAAAGGGGGGGGAATCAAGAAGGATCCGTTGTCGTGTCGGCCCAGGCCACAAACTCCGCTCCTCGCCGTCGACGAGCCCAGCGCCTCGAGGCAAAGTGTCGGGCGTAGGCCTCGCGCAGCGGGCCCCGCGCAGTTGCCACAGTTTGGCTCTCAGTTCGGCTGTCAGAGCCTTGAACGTCTCTGTCGAGGCAGTCCTGTGGGCGATTGAGCAGCTGCGAGGCCCAGCGCGTGTAGGCAGAGCTGTCCCCAAGGATCCGAAGGCAGGCAAGCCAGTGACGCTCAGTGGCATCCTGGGCATCCTGCTCAGGCTCGGCAAAGATGGCTTCCAGCAGCAGCAAGGCCAACTCGGCTGGGGAAGGTGACGAGGTCCCATGCAGCTGCCGCACCCGTTTCTGCAGCTGGCACAGGTTCTGGCAATACTCCTGCTGAGATTCTGGGGACTCGAAGACCTCGGGTGGAGAGCTGCAGCTTCTGAGCAGCGTCTCGAGGTCGCCCAAGCCGCCCAAGCCCTCTTCAGCTTCTGCCTGCTCCGCCTGCTCCGCCTGGCCGGCCTCCGATGTGCATCGTGGGCAGGCGCAGTCGAAGCCCCAAGTCTCCCGGAGCTCCTCCTGGCGCTCCGCACGAGTTCTCAGCAAGCCCCCCACGCTCAGGTACGACGTGGTGATGGGGCTGCCCGCAGAAATCGGCCGCAGCGCTGTGAACCACAAGCTCTCGCCGTCGTGCAGCAAGGCGCAGTTTGGATCGCAGGAGTGCTCGCAGAGAGCCATGTGTAGCCACAGCCCACACACGATGTCGTGCGACAGCGCTTCCTGTAGGCCCGCAGGGCTGTCGATCAACCTCCAACAGGGGGCCGAAACAGTCAGCTGCCGCCAGTTCGGAACAACATGGGCCCATGCTTTTTCAAGCAAAGATATGTCCAGGGCCGCAGCAACAGCTGGCTTCCACTTCTTGTGCCAGCGCCGGATCATCGGCACGCGCGGAGGCGCGCCCTCGAACTCATACAAGGACATCAGCAAGTCCGCATGCGAATGATGAGAACCTGCCAGCACCATGGATGCCAGAAAGTCCAAAGCCGCAAGCAACTCCACCGACTTGATGTCCTCACTGGACTCGGTGGCTTCAGCAAGATGTCGCCCTACACTGGAGCCATGTGGCAAGATGGGCAGATCTCGGATCCTGTGCCCTGCGGGAAGGTCCACGGTTGCTTCCAGGCATCGCCCGCGGTCGGGCGTGTCGATCAGCCGGAACTGGCCCTTGGAGGTCTCGGCCACCCGTTCTGCAAGGACTTCCATGGCTGGAAAGGCTTACATAATTATTCTCTTGCTATACTGTTTCAATATCACATTCTTTATATTCTTGCAGCAGCGCCCGCCGTCGAAGGAATGAAAGGGAAGGGGGTGCCGGATGCAACTTGTGAAGAGCAAAGATCAGCACAACAGTGACAACACCCTCGCGAAAAATGGCACACAAGCAATCACTCTGCACAACGAGTTCTCAGAAGAGTTGAACAAACACTGAGCCGCCCACATGCGTTCAAAGGCGGTCCGCCGAAGAGCCAGCACCTGCGAATGGTCGCCGGCACTCGCCGGCACTCGCCGGCCCCATGCTCACTGCGTGTCCTATACCTAAATCTGAACCGAAGCAATGTCATTGTAGCGCCCAGCATAAAATAGCCATAGACTTCACCCCCCTCAGCCTGTGCAGCCCAGAGCCATGAGAAGTAGCCCGACACAGTCCATGCCTCCACCTTCGAGGCTGCGGAGACCGTGGCCGAACGCACCGTCCTTTCCAGCAGGGCCTCACAGAGAGAGAGAGAGAGAGAGAGAGAGAGAGAGAGAGAGAGAAAAAAAAAATCAAAATAACAAATGAAACATAAACAAATAAATATAAATAAAAAAAAAATATATATATATATATATACATATTTATAACACGCATCTTTCAGCAAGCAGCGGAGAACCAGTGCAAGAGATTGCCACTACATCGCTGATTCCAAGGCGATTGCAGCCAGGGTCGGCATGAGAGGGAGGTGGGGGGGGTGGATGGGCCTCCCTCTGGAGAGTTCAATTTAGCCAGAGCATGCCATTCCCAAAAAATCTTGGCGATCGCACGGCTTCAGTAGTCTCAGTGGGGGTCATTGCACCCAAACACGAGAACGACGCTGCAGCGACCTTTCCGAACTTCGGCCCAAACCCGACAGGGCGCGCGCCTTCTCTCCGAACATGTCCCCCGCATAGCAGCGCTTGCACTCCTGCCCGGGGTCCATGGTTAAGTAGCGCGCATCGGCTGCCCATGTCTAGAAGAGGGGGCGAGCTTGCTTTGAAGTACCCCTCGTTCTCTCCTGGATGTCCCTGTCGTCGTTCGACCCAGTCTCTACCGTCACCACCTCAAATGGCGCTCGGGGCCCTTCTTTGCAACACGTCGACAACGTTCCACGACAGTCGCGTGTGCTGTTCTCAGTCCTTGAGTGCTTTCCTGCCCATCGAATCACAAGGAAAAGCCCGTGCAAGCGCCGAACGCAAGTGCCCTCCAGGACCACGTACAGCCTGAGGCGGAGGGCACGCAGCTCGCACCAAGTTGATGAGGTGGAAGATGTTTCGGAGTTTCGGGCCGAGTTTTGGTTGCTCCAAGGCACATTTCAACCCGAGCAGGCAGACATGGACGACTGCAACTCACTGACCTTTGGACCCAGTGAGCACCGCGCTCCGAGCCGGTCTCCCCCTGGCGGACGATGACCTGCACAAGCAGAGCTGCGTGCAAAGAAGCAGGTTTAAACCTTGTTTTGTGGAGATGACAGACGAGTCGACGCAGCACAGCAATTACCATGGCAACCTGCTGAAGATCCAGGATCCCTGAAGCCCCATGTTCTTTTGGCCTCACCCTCTTCGAAGCACTTCTTCTCCAACCTGGGGGGCGGGGTGGGAGGAAATCAGGATTGGAGCACGAAGCCCTAAACAACGTACCGGCTTTCAACTCCTGGCAGTCTGTCGTCTTGCTTTGCCCTAAACCCTAAACCCTAAACCCTAAACCCTAAACCCTAAAGCCTAAACCCTAAACCCTAAAGACCCTAAACCCTGAACAAGCCCCTGGCGCATCTGCCAGGTGAGCGATCTCTTCGTCGTCGAGCCTGAGTGCTCAAAGAAGGCCATTAAAGAATGCCCCGGCTTCTAGAGGACAGTTTGGCCTGAAAACCCTAACCCCTAAACCCTAAACCCTAAGCCCTAAACCCGAAACCCTACACCCTAAACCCCAAACCCTAAACCCTAACCGCATTTTCGGCTTTCCAACATGGAAGCAAAGGTGCGTCTCGAGCATTGCTGAGCGGCGCAAGCAAGCCTGGCAGAGCGCGCGCTAGGGGCTGCAAAAAATCTGGGGGTTTATGATGCCTGATTTAGGCTTTAGGGTTTAGGGTTATGGCACCTTATCGGGGTCCTTATTGAAGGGGATCCTACTATTTGGGGTCTATTTGGGGGCATTTTAGGGGCCATACGGGGTGCACCTGAGACATCTACTCTGAAATAGCCTGCGTTAGAGTTTAGGGTCTAGGGCCTAGGGTTTGTTGGAACTTGAATGAAGTTTCCATAAAATCAGGGTACCATACTATCATGTGTGCTATGAAACACAGTTCTGGTGACTTGTATGGCTCTTTGACAAGAACCCAGTAACCAGCTGGCCAGGCAAGCTCACGGAACGCGTGGGCAGCAATGTGACATACAAACGTTCACGTACAGCATAGGAAGACCCCCCCGACAGCGACGTGATCCTAATTCAAGCTGTGTGTGTTGCTGCCACACATTGGCCTATGAGACTGCCGGGTACCGGGGCTAAGCTCTGCTCAAGCCAACAACACGCCTCAAGGTCTCCTTGAGACATCAATCCAAAGCATGCGCAGCTTCAGAACACCCTAAAAACCCTAAACCCTAAACCCCCCCCCCCCCCCCCCCCCCCCCCCGCAAAGCCATTGTCGAACCCATACCGAGGCCGAGGCCAGAAGCCCGAAACCCCTCGAACCCCAAGAGCCCTCGACAGCCTCAACACCCAACCCGAGTTAAAGTGCAAGAGCCGTGCTTGCTTAATAGGGGCGGGGATGGGCCAGTCGTTTTAAATTATACATGCGCAGAAGAAACTACTCACATCAGCAGATGCTTTTCGCTTGCTCTGCCCACGCGTGATGGGTTGCGTCCTACACCTCCAGCTGAGCAGTCGGAAAACTAGTTTCTCCGAAACCCTATAAAACCCTATAAGACCCTAAGCACTTGAAAACCCCAAGGAACCCTTTTTTCTTCCTCTCGACCGGGAGGTGTGCCAGAACGAGCCCCGACACCCTGAACAAAAAAAACTAGACCCAGGAGTGACCTGGGAATGAGTGAGGGCGCCTGTTTGGTTCAAAGGGGTGCATAAGGGAATTGAAACCCCAAAAAAAGTGAATAAGGGCCTAATCTGGGGTGATACGGGGCTGGCCTCGCGGCGGCTGCGCTCCTTCATCTCGTTGCGCACCACCAGGTTGCGGAAGACCTCTCAACCCCAAACCCTAAACCCTAAACCCTAAACCCTCAGGCCTTATCCATCAGGCTTGCTGTTGTCCTCGCCTGGTTAGAAACCCTATACTAAACCCTAAAATGAGAACCCCCCAAAAAACAACCACAGGAGGATCGTTGAAAGGAGATCTGGGGGGGTGCCCCTACGGGCAGCTTTATTCGGCTCACAGGGCCTCATAATCCTCTTCATGAATGACTAGTTCTTACTATTCTTATTGTTACTAGCAATTTTTTTTTATTAATTATTAGTTGACATGATTATTATTATCAAGGAGATTTGTCGAGATTGGCAGCTACCCGGTGGCAACCTTAGGCAGGGTCTACATCATACAGAGCGCTTTCAAGAATGCGGGGGAAGCCCCCATCCCCAGACACCGGATGGCCAGATGAAGGTCATTATGACATCAACCAGGGCAGGTTTGGGGGGCCCCTTTAAAAATATCTTTGTGGCGTTATAGGGATTACATAGGGGATTAAGGGTAACAACAAATAAAAGTTATGTTCAAATACCCCAGCCCTGGCCCAGCCTCTTGTGTTAAGACTCCAAGAGTGGCAGGCTGCTGGTCCACGTACCTGGAGATCCCCTGAAGCAACCCCGGGCCGCGCAGTGCGGTGTCTACACAGAAAAGGAGAATTAGTTGCCCGTTTTAGCCCGTGTACAAATGCCCTTCATTTCCAGGCTCTTAGGCCATAATTGCTGAACCCGAACTCCCCCCCCCCCCCCCCCCGCGGCCCGCCCCCGCGAGCCCCCCATTAGCAAACCGACACGCGGGGTACACGCTGCGGGTCCGCGGCGTGCTATAGAGCATGGAGAACTCCCCAAAGAGGCGTCCGCAATTCAGCTGCCGCACCAGGGCCTAGCTTGAGACTCCCCACTCGGAACGGTGAGAGTTTAGGGTTTAGGGTTTAGGGTGTAGGGTTTAGGGTGTAGGGTTTAGGGTTTAGGGTTTAGGGTGTAGGGTTTAGGGTGTAGGGTTTAGGGTTTAGGGTTTAGGGTGTAGGGTTTAGGGTTTAGGGTTTAGGGTTTCGGGGTACTCTACGAACCTCTGCCGGCCCTCACTCCCCGGACTCTCTCCCTCTCCTCAAAGACTCTCCTCGTGGGTCGGCGACTTCTGATCATGAGAACTCGGAAGCAGAAGAGCGCTAATGGCCAGAATAATGGTCTAGGTTGGGAGGTTCCCCCTTGTGCTAACAGTGCTTAACAGGGATTATAATAAGAGAGTACTAGAACCCCTATTGGGGGCTGTTAGTACAAGGGAGAACATCCCAAGGTATAGTAGTTATAGTAAAAAACCATAATCTGAATGGCTCTGGCACATTGTGATTGGTATATATGAGCAGACATCATCATAGTTCGTTTTACTGCGATTCAATTATAAATGTTCGAAACACTAACAAAATCCAAAATAATGGATATAACTATAACTACAAACATGATAAATACACAAACGGGTGGTTGTCAAAGTTACAATCCCTTTTGGGGTACCCAATATTCGGTGCCGTATACTAACAGGGATCCAAAAAGGGACCATGATTTTGACAACCACCCAAACAGAAACACAAAAAACTATATTCACATGGCACAGCTGTGGGCCACCACCTTGGTCCCCCCAGGATCGGTGTCCGGATCGGGCTCCTTCACATTGATGGGACGTTCAACCCTGCACTTGGTGATGAACAGCCTTGGGACTTTGGGGTGTTTAGGGGTTCGGGGCGTAGGGGTGCGGTTATAGGGTTTAGGGTTGCGGTAAGTGTAGAGATGTTATGGGGTTTAGGGGCTTAGGGACATTTAGGAGTTTGGGGGATTAGGGATTTAATGATTTAGCGGTCTCTGGTGCAAAGGGGTGGGTCCTGGAAAACGCTCACCGACCCCTCGACGATGACGTAGGCGCAGTCCTTAGCCCAAAGTTCCACCGTTCCTTCCTGCGGCACTCCGCGTGATCACGTGGGCTGCATGGGTTTTCCCGTCTGTGCAAGTTTGTGCATCCCTCGCTGCGAAGCTCCCGGCGTCCCGGGCACCTTGCCGGCACACGCAAGCACCTGCACACGTCCGGTTTAGGGTTTAGGGTTTAGGGTTTAGGGTCTAGGGTTTACGGTTTAGGGTTTAGGGTTTAGGGTTTAGGGATGGTTTAGGGTTTAGGTTTAGGGACATGCCCGACTCACTTCCGAAGACCAAGCATCGTGCCTGGATCAAAGGTATTCACAGGCATGGCTCGGACCTTTGCAAGTCAAGCAGGCCCCAAAACATGTTGTCTTTCACGTGGGAAGCATTCCAGTTCAAGGAGCGCAATCTCAAACGCACACTTTTAAAGTCGAGGCCTGCGGCTTCTAATGACTTCTTAGATGAGATGTTTCCGGACCCGCGACTCGCCTTTAACTCCCCCACTCCCACCCGCCTGGGTTCACCGAGTAGTTTTCTGATGAGCTGCTTACGTCAACAAGTACGAAAACTCAAAACCCTAAAACCAAAACCCTACATCCTAAACCTTCCACCCTATAACCTTCGACCCTATAGGCATCACCCGGGGATCGTGCGAGAGACTCCAGCGTGCCATCGTCAATCTTCTGCATGAATGGGCACTGCCTGGCGTGCAGGTTTAGGGTTTTGTTGGGCTTTCTGTGTTTGCCACGGCCGTGGAGTTTGGGGGTTTTAGGATTTAGGGTTTAGGGTTTAGGGAATAGGGTTTAGGGTTTAGGGCTTAGGGTTTAGGGTACGACCGAAAGGTGCCTTCAAGAGCCTCTGAAGCAAAGGCCCCCCATGCGGGAGGGAGCCTCTGCCTCCCCCCCAAGCACCGCTCCCGCGCCTCAAGGCCACCCGCAGCGCGGCGCTTTGCCTGGCACAGGGTTTAGGGTTTAGGGTTTATAGGGTTTATAGGGTTTAGGGTTTCGGGTAATACCCCAAAGGGTAGCCTAGTTTAGAAAACTACCCATATGCCCCATGTGGGGTTCTCAAAGCACCGGGTCATCCATACTACGAACCGGACCAGAATCCCCGCAAAGCCCTCAACAGCGTTCTTAAGCTAAGCAGCTTTCAATCAGGTACCATCACAGGGCTATATGGTAACTACCATAGTGCCCCCATATTCTTCGTTAAGCTCTTGAAACCTAAGCCTGCAGTCCAACAAACGGCTTCATGCCAAGCGGCTCATGGGTCTTTGTCTCATTCGGCGCCGTCCTGGTAAGGTCTTTGCTCAAGACTTCATGGGCCCGGTTTCGGGGTTTGGGGTTGAGTGGTGTCGGTTTCTACTGCCATCCGCCTAGCCATGCACTGCGGGGTGCCAAGCCGGAGGAACATGTGCGACCCGCAATAGTGCAAGTAGGGCATATCAGGGTTCAGAGGCATAGGGCTTGCATGATCTCGTGTGTCTTCTTGTTACCAAGGACCAGAAAGGCCCAACCTACTCATCAGAAGCAGGGCTTTCAGGGTTTCTCGGTCTTCGGGCTCGAGAGAATTCTCCAAGTACCTCATTCAGTACGGGGACGGCCTCATGAACATGCAAGCTAGGGCACGGCTCAGTGAATCACTCTGAGACTCCGAACCAGGAGACATTCCATCCGCTTGTGGACTGAGAGGCAGCCAAGGATTCATGCTTCAGGAAGGTTTCTGACTTCGTGCATGTGGTGTTGCACGGGAGGGGGGGTGGGGAAATCTTTGCCACTCGCCTAGCTGGCATTCTCCCCTGCAGTTGAAGTTTGGAAGTCAGTCAGGTGATTAGGTCATGAAGCGGGGTCTATAGATGTGGGGGGGGGGGGGAGTTTTAAAAACATGAGGGAACCTTTGTGGGGTCCTTTTTAACGGGATTCTACTATTTCGGAGGCGAAACTAACTTGAGGGAGGAACTGGTGAATCGAGGATCCTGGAATCCTGGCCAAATAACAGGGGGGCCGACTCTCATAAGGAAGTGGAGGCTCTCCCAGCAAAGCTAACATGCCTGCTTGACTGCACCTCCTGATCTCAAAGACCTGGTGTTCGAACTCATGATCTCAATACGTAGTAAGTCTTTTCTCTGCACTACAAGATACCTCGTAATGGGCCCGTAAGTCAGAACGGCACCCCATGTGCTAACACATCTCTGCTCCACGCCTGTGCTGCGACACCGCATCGCCTCTGCACTCAGGAGACATGCTCAAGCCGAAGGCTCCACTCACATGACTGTAGCGCCGGCACCACCCAGCTTTCGTGGACATGGCTCGGTCTTAGTCTGTCCCCCCCGGCAGAAAACGCACCTAAACCCTAAACCCTAAACCCTAAACCCTAAACCCTAAACCCTAAACCCTAAACCCTAAGAGGCATGAGAATGGCGGCCTCTGTGTGGCGCGAGTCTTCAGCCATGCGGGAGGACGCAGCGCCGACGCCTGCACCAAGACACTTGTCTGGCGAAGCAAAGCATGGCACTCGATTCATGTGATTTTGGTTGTAGTGGATGGATTGGCTCAGATCAACATAGTATTGAATAGAACTTTATACGGTCATCATCAAGTGGTTCTCTGCCATAAACCAGAAGGCCGCAACATTGGCAATGTGGCACATGGGCCTTCGGCGTCTGCACGCAAGCCTGGCGTGCGAAAATCGATAAAGCAGCCGGGTCGCGGGGGAGATTCTCGAGCACAAGCAGATGTTTCGGTTCTGGAAGTTTGAACAAACCCTAAACCCTCAACCCTTTTGAGCAACGGACTTTGGAGAAGTTGCATGTTTGCCGGCAGCCTCCAAAGTCCGTTGCTCAAAGCCCTCAACCCTAAACCCTAAACCCTAAACCCTAAACCCTAAACCTTAAACCTTAAACTTGTTTGGGAGGCTTGGGAGTGAACCTTAGGAGGCCCAGGGAAAGGGTGGCTCGAGGGCGAGGGTTGCCCAGAGTATGTCTCCATGTTCAGACCTTGTGAGCCCCTACCCTTTGCTGTTCAAAGACCCTACGGCAGCTGCTATGTACTGTGTGTAAAGGAAGATTGGCTTGCACAGCCTACACTCTGAACTCGAGAGGGAAAAAGAGAGAGAGAGAGAGAGAGCGAGATGCAGGAGCAGAGTGGCCGAGGAATCAAAAAGAGCTAGCCCGTGCCCCAGACATAGACTGCCATTGGCGAAGCCTCCTCGTCACTGCTGTTCTGGCTGGCGATTTCTTCTCTGTCCTGGCACAATCTTAGGGGGAAGCAACGCGAATAAGCCGAGCACGGCTACCTTCCGGACCGCCAAATGCTGCAAATCCTTGTTCCTGGTACCACAACTTCAAAAGGCTTCTGCCGAATGGTCAGGAAGTGGGCTTCCGAACGAATAAGCTGCAACATGATGGCACCATGTTAGTGTTTGTGTGCTAGGGCACGTTTGCTCAACCTTCATCAAGAGAACCGGGGAATAGGGTACCTTCTGTGAGGCTTAGGGTTTAGGGTCCTGAGGTCTAGCAGCAGACCTAGCTGACCACCCAAAACGGTCCTGTTCTAGAAAATGGCCCCTGTTTTGGGCACCCTGAGAGGGTTTAGGGTTCAGGGTTAGGAGCACCTCCACTAATGAAGAATTTATGCCCCAAATGGGGTTTAGGGCCTAGGGTTTAGGGTTTGGTCGCTCACTCTCACACAAGGCAGGCAAGGTCCGTTGGTCTGCGTGTTTAGGGGTTTAGAGTTTAGGGGGTAGGGTTTCGGGTGTGCCTCGGCCGCGCACGTCTGCGTTGCCTCGCCGGCCTGGGGGCTAGAAAGCGTTCCAATGTAGTTACGATTGGTCAAAGCCCTTGGGTGAGGAACTCGGAGGAACCCAGGGTAAAGGATGCAGTAAGGACTAAGGACTAAGGACTAAGGAGTAAGGAGTAAGAGCCAGCAAGAAAGAAAGAACAAGATGAGAGGTGAGTAGTACTCAGGAATTTGTAAGTAGCAACTAGTAGCCCGTAACTACCTTTTCGTGACTACTACTTAGTCATGCACCGTCGCAATTCGAATTCACACAATGAGTCAGGATGAACTAACAACTACTGGTACTAGTATGAGCACTGGTTGAGTGCAAAATAAGACAAAAACGATACCCTAAACCCTAAGCCCTAAGCCCTAAGCCCTAAACCCTAAACCCTAAACCCTAAACCCTAAGCCCTAAACGCTAAACCGATAGCATGGGGTAAAGATACTAGGATGGCCCTCAAAAACCCTCTGAACAATATTCGTGGATATGAGCCTCTGAAACCCAATAAGGGAAAATAACACATGTCCCAAGGGCCTAACCCTAAACCCTAAACCCTAAACCCTAAACCCTAAACCCTAAACCCTAAACCCTAAACCCTAAACCCTAAACCCTAAACCCTTGGAGCCTGCACGGCGTCAACGTCGAGACTCTGGCTCTCCGCCCGGTGCCGCAACCTTTGGCTCATTGGAAGAAGGGGTCCCCTTTTCAATTCAGGTACCCTTAGTTTAGGGTTTAGGGTTTAGGGTTTAGGGTTTAGGGTTCTAAACCCCTAAACCCCTAATGACCCCTAAACCCCTAAACCCCTAACCGAAACCCCTAAACCCCCTAAACCCCTAAGCCCCTACACCCCAAACCGCGAAACCCTAACCCCAAAACCCTAAACCCCAACCCCAAAACCCTGAATTACGAAACCCTCAACCCTAGAAACTCAAAGCCCCCCTCCAACAACCGAAGCACCCCCGGCGCTCCCTGGGGATTCCGGCAATCCCGAGTCCAAGAGATCCACTGGGGCCTCGGTCGCCAGAGCGGGGTTTAGGGTTTAGGGTTTAGGGTTTAGGGTTTAGGGTTTAGGGTTTAGGGTTTAGGGTTTAGGGTTTAGGGTTTAGGGTTTAGGGTTTAGGGTTCACAAGAAGGCAAAGATTCAGTCGGATGGGTTCGTCTCGGTTTCATGTCCGCTCTGATCCATCCCATCACCCAGTGCCCACCCATTTTAAACGCAAGTACCCACGCATTATGAGGTGTTTAGGGTTAAGGGTTTCCGAAAAAAGGAACCCCTAATATAAACCCCAAAGGGCACCTCTAATTTAGGAAACCCCCATATCCGTAGAACCACTTACAGCCAGAGATGTCCGAGCCAACATGCCTCCCTAGTTGTCCAAAAAACCTGTGGGAATTTAAAAGTTAACCTTTGCGATTATTGCCTACTCTACTACCAGGTCTCTACAAGGTGTTTTTCTGGGTTTCGGGTTTGGGGTCTGGGGGCGTTTCGGACTTAGGGCGTTCTGGGGCATACGGTTTTGGGCTTTAGGGCGAATTTAGGTCGTTTAGGGTTTAGGCCGCTCAGGGCTTGGGGCGTTTCTCGCGTTTTGGGGCTAGGGCTTCGATGAACCACGCAAAGACGCAAAGCCCAGGATGCTCCGTCGAGCTCGAGCCCCAGCTCCAAAATCTACCGAGTTGGGCTTAGGGTTTTGTATGTATAGGGTTTAGGGTATAGGGTTCAGGGTTCAGGGTTTAGGGCCGAGTGTTTTAGGGTTCAGGGTTTAGGGCTTAGGGTTCAGGGTTAGGGTTTAAAAGGTTGAGCTTTTGTATGCTATTGTGATCTGGGGTGTAGGGGGGCCCTGGGACCTCACAGCCATTACCACGTAGTCATGCCCCGTTTTTCCAGTCGCAGACGCTGCATACGAAGCGT